CAGGGATGCCCTCTCTCACCACTTCTGTTCAACATAGTTCTCGAAACACTGGCCAGAGCAATTAGACAGACGAAAGAAATTAAAGGCATCAAAATAGGAAAAGAAGAACTTAAATTATCACTATTTGCAGATGACATGATTCTATACCTAGCAGACCCAAAAGGGTCTACAAAGAAACTATTAGAGCTAATAAATGAATTCAGCAAAGTGGCAGGATATAAAATCAACACGCATAAATCAAAGGCATTCCTGTATATCAGCGACAAATCCTCTGAAATGGAAATGAGGACAACCACTCCATTCACAATATCCTCAAAAAAAAATAAAATACTTGGGAATCAACCTAACAAAAGAGGTGAAAGACTTATACAATGAAAACTACAGAACCCTAAAGAGAGAAATAGAAGAAGATCTTAGAAGATGGAAAAATATAGCCTGTTCATGGATGGCAGAACTAACATCATCAAAATGGCGATATTACCAAAAGTTCTCTATAGGTTTAATGCAATGCCAATCAAAATCCCAACGGCATTTCTTGTAGAAATAGAGAAAGCAATCATGAAATTCATATGGAAAAATAAAGGACCCAGAATAGCAAAAACAATGCTAAGCAGGAAGTGTGAATCAGGCGGTATAGCGATACCAGACTTCAAACTATACTACAGAGCAATAGTAACAAAAACAGCATGGTACTGGTACCAAAACAGGCAGGTGGACCAATGGTACAGAATAGAGGACACAGAAACCAATCCACAAAACTACAACTACCTTATATTTGATAAAGGGGCTAAAAGCATGCAATGGAGGAAGGATAACATCTTCAACAAATGGTGCTGGGAAAACTGGAAATCCATATGCAACAAAATGAAACTGAATCCCTTTCTCTCGCCATGCACAAAAGTTAATTCAAAATGGATCAAGGAGCTTGATATCAAATCAGAGACACGCCGTCTGATAGAAGAAAAAGTTAGCTACGATCTACATACTGTGGGGTCGGGCTCCAAATTCCTCAATAGGACACCCATAGCACAAAAGTTAATAACTAGAATCAACAAATGGGACTTACTCAAACTAAAAAGTTTTTTCTCAGCAAAAGAAACAATAAGAGAGGTAAATAGAGAGCCTACATCCTGGGAACAAATCTTTACTCCTCACACTTCAGATAGAGCCCTAATATCCAGAGTATACAAAGAACTCAAAAAATTAGACAATAAGAGAACAAACAACCCAATCAACAAATGGACCAAGGACCTGAACAGACACTTCTCAGAGGGGGACATACAATCAATCAACAAGTACATGAAAAAATGCTCACCATCTCTAGCAGTCAGAGAAATGCAAATCAAAACCACCCTAAGATACCATCTCACTCCAGTTAGATTGGCAGCCATTATGAAGTCAAACAACAACAAGTGCTGGCGAGGATGTGAGGAAAAGGGTACACTTGTACATTGCTGGTGGGACTGCAAATTGGTGCAGCCAATTTGGAAAGCAGTACGGAGATTTCTTAGAAAGCTGGGAATGGAGCCACCATTTGACCCAGCTATTCCCCTTCTCGGTCTATTCCCTAAAGACCTAAAAAGAGCATGCTACAGGGACACAGCTACATCGATGTTCATAGCAGCACAATTCACAATAGCAAGACTGTGGAACCAACCTAGATGCCCTTCAATAGATGAATGGATAAAAAAAATGTGGCATTTATACACAATGGAGTATTACTCTGCATTAAAAAATGACAAAATCATAGAATTTACAGGGAAATGGATGGCATTAGAGCAGATTATGCTAAGTGAAGCTAGCCAATCCCTAAAAAACAAATGCCAAATGTCTTCTTTGATATAAGGAGAGTAACTAAGAACAGAATAGGGTCGAAGAGCATGAGAAGAAGATTAACATTAAACAGGGATGAGAGGTGGGAGGGAAAGGGAGAGAGAAGGGAAATTGCATGGAAATGGAAGGAGACCCTCAGAGTTATACAAAAGTACATACAAGAGGAAGTGAGGGGAAAGGGAAAAATAATACAAGGGGGACAAATGAATGTCAGTAGAGGGGGCAGAGAGAGAAGAGGGGAGGGGAGGGGAGGGGAGGGGGGATAGTAGAGGATAGGAAAGGCAGCAGAACACAACAGACACTAGTATGGCAATATGTAAATCAATGGATGTGTAACTGATGTGATTCTGCAATCTGTATATGGGGTAAAAATGGGAGCTCATAACCCACTTGAATCAAAGTGTGAAATATGATATATCAAGAACTATGTAATGTTTTGAACAGCCAACAATAAAAAATTAAAAAAAAAAAAAAGTTAATGGTAACGTTCCCTTGAGTAGAAGTAATATAATATGTCCTTGATTTGCTTCCCATATTTGATAATTAAAAATCAAACCTGGGGGGCTGGAGCTGTAGAGTTCAGCAGCAGAGTGCTTTCCTGACATGTATGAGGCACTGGGTTCAATCCTCAGCACCACATAAAAAATAAATAAATAAACAAATAAAATAAAAGCATTCTGTCCATCTACAATAATAAAAAATAAAATATATTTTAAAAAATCAAACTGGGCGCTGGGGCTGAGGCTCAGTGACAGAGCTCTTCTTGCCTCACAGGTATGAGGGACTAGATTCAATCCTCAGCACCACATAAAAATAAATACATAAAAAGATATTATGTCAATTTACAACTAAAAAAAATATTTTAAAAAAAATTAAAACCTGGGAGGACTGGGGTTGTGGCTCAGCAGTAGAGCCTTCACCTAGCATGTATGAGGCACTAGGTTCGATCCTTGGCTCCACATAAAAATAAATAAAATAAAAAATTTTTAAAAATCAAACCTGGAACAATCCTTTCTATATACTGAAAATAGCCTTTTTATATTTAGGATTAAAATCATAATTTCTTTGGAAAAGGTTATTAGCAGTTTAATGCCCTTGCTACAAACTGCAAAACTGCACTTAGGAGTGTCCCAAATCATAATACAGCAGCTAATCAGTTTGTTTTCACACTTACTTCCACTACTTTTCATTAAACTTTTAATTTTTCTATATGAGAATATAAGCTTTTCTTAATCATCATATTTCCTACCAAGTACAAGATAGCATTACCTTTGTAGAATAACTGGTTATATTAAAGCCTTTCCACTTAATGAACTCCCTGCCATTATTTCTGTGAAGTATAAACCTAAAATTAAGAAATTTACCTTGTCTAAAGTCATACATCTAAGAATAGTATGATGTTTAAAAGAATGGACTCTGGCTATGCGAGTCTGAATACTGTTTCCACAGTCTACCAACTGTGTAATTAGTTAGTTGGGAAGTTATTTGAATTCTCCATCCCTCGATCTCCTTATTTATAAAACAGAGATGATAACATTATTTACCTCATAAGGCTAGTATAAAAATTAAATGAGTTATTATATGTAATGTATAAAAAACTCTCATAGTAGTACCTGCCACATAATGAATGCTAGTTATCATCAGGATGATAACAAACTAGGTGTTTGGGGAATTAAAATTTATTGGATACATATGTCATTTGTGTGGCAGATATTTTACCAGATTTTCTTATTTCATCTCCCCAATTCCTTGAAGCAGAATTTTACACCTATTTAATAGCAAAAGGATAGGATTCTCAAAGAAGCAAAAAGTACTTTGCTTACCATCATCACAATAGTGGCAGAACTGGAATCTGAATCTGATTATTGTGAATATCAAAACCATATTTTTCATCCTTGTTAAATGCACATATTCTGAATTCATTCAATATATGAGTTCATTCATTCAATATCTTAGTTCATTCAAAAAAAAAAAAAAATCTGTAAAAGTGGGCTGGTCTAGAAGTATTCACACTTCTAGTTTCAAGCCAAATCTCGAAAAAAGGGTGCAAGATTCACATTAATGGGGAAGACAGTAGTTTTGGTAAATGAAGGAACACCAAAAACAAAACCAAATAAGGTTCTATATAGTTAAGGGAAGATCAACCTGAGCAAAGGGTCTGAGAAATAATTGATTCAATCCCTGAAAATATACAATATGACAGGTGCTGTCCTTGACCTTGAAGATATGGAGAAAAAATAGTCTAGAAGCAGAGGCAGACTACCAACATAGCCAGCCTGAAAAGTGGTTTGATAAGTTATTAAGGATATAAATGGGGGGCTGAAGAGTACCCAACCAACGGAGAATGCTAGGGTGTAAGGTAAGGGTTCTACAGATGGTCCGTGAGTTGAGGACCAGAAGATGCAAAGCGGTGATGTCAGTCTTAAAAGGGCATTCTACACAGACCAGAATGTGAAAAGGCAGCAGAGGGCCCAGAGCACTGGGATTATGTAGTTTTGAATTTGACTGTTTGGGAAAGGAGGCTGAAAAGTATAAAACATGGTAGTGTTCCCACACCAAAGAACAGGATCCACTTTGCAAAAAATGAGCTCTCGTGTTGGATTTTAAGCAGAACCATTGTATTACAACGAGGAACGTATACTTGAGACACTAACCGGGAAACTTTTTTAAAAAATGTCAGCAATAGTGATGGAAGGCTGGGGATATAGCTCAGTTGGTAGAGTGCTTGCCTAGCATACACATGGACCTGGGTTCAATCCCCAGCACCACCATAAAAAATTAAAAAAAAAAAAATAGTGATGGAAGATGAGCTAACAATGGCAATAGTGGAAAAACCCAGGAGCTGGATCTGATGCGACGACTTACACACGCAGGGAGAGATTAAGTCAAGTCACTCGACCAGCGGCGAAAGCTGGGACTCGAACCCGGCCCGACCTCAAAGCCGGCCTGAGCTCTGGAGGGCTGAGGCAACTTGCAGCTACCGACAGAACCGCTGTTAGGATGGGAGGACCAACGGTCCCCCACTACCCAGCCTCATCATTTTCAGTGCCGCCGCGCCGTCTTGGGTTTTTCTTTTTTTCCCCCAAGCAGTTTTACACGCCCCCTGCCAGAGTCCCCTCAAGTCCCCGCCACCCACACAGTGGACTCCTCGGATCCACAACCCTCACCTGGCTCGGTCGGGATCCAGACCTAACCATTTCTCGCAGCCTCAGGAAATCCCAGAACCAGGGATGAGAAGCCACTCTGTAAAAAGAATTAACCGCCGCGGGCTCCCCGCCCCCTTTGGACCGCCCCCCGAGCTTCCGCTTCCGGCAACTCTCCCGCCGAACGCCGCGCTTCATAGCCTCTAGCACAGGGCGGCGACCTTTCTCTCGCCGATTGCCCGGCACCAGCGTGCGCAATAGACTCCTCCCGGCTCCACCGCTCGTCACACACTGCAGTGGGTGGGAAAAGCCAACCGAATGCACGAGGAGCGGGGTCTGAGGGGCGGGGTCTGAGGGGCGGGTCTAAGGGGCGGGGCGGGGTCTGAGGGCGGGGGAGGAGAGGCGTGGTGCCCGGGCTCTAGGTGGGCGGAGGAAGTATCTGACAGAACTGATTGGGCAGTATTGCTCCACAGGCTTTCAGGGGAGGAGCGCGGAACCTTCACGGGTGGGGACCAAGACCAGCCAACACCAAAGGAAGGGACTGGAGTGGGGAAAGGATGGGTTTCAGAGGTATTAGGTTATGCTTTGGGGTTTTAGCTCTTTATTTTTAGTTCGGAACTTCGTGTGCCTTTTAAAATGATTTTGTTTTTAATATTCAATAAAAATTAAGCCTCGGTATCATTATCTTTGCGTAATTCTAATAATTTCAAATGTTGACTGTGGTCAGTGATCTCAGAATGGTGCTCATTAGTTAGGATTTTGGTTTTATTTCCATATATAGTCTATTCTGCTGAGGCCATTGCTATTAGTAAAGTATGACAGTATTCTTACCATTGACTAACTGCACTAAATTATAATAGAGATTCGACATTGGTTTGTAAGATATTGTGTTTGGGGGTCATGTTTTAAATCAAATTGGAGAGAAATTATGTAACTCAGTGGATCCCTATTTTTTTATAGGAAAGAGAGCTGTGTTTTTAAAAATGTTAAAATTAATAATAACGCCCAGGAACTAAAATATTCGTATCAATATATTACATACTCATTATGAGGGATTTTAGGAAACTATTTGATAAACTTGGTTTTCAATTGATTATCTCTAAAAATCCTATCCTTTCCTTCCCCATCTCTCTCACAATTTTTAACATATTCACCTTAGATTCCTCCTGGTTTTAATAATCAATTAATTAATTATTTCTATGTGGTGCTAAGAATGGAAACAAGTGCCTTGCTAGGCAAGCACTCTGCCACTGAGCTACAGCCTCAGCCCTCTGCGTGTTTTTTTTTTTAATATTTATTTTTTAGTTGTAGTTGGACACAATACCTTTATTTTATTTATTTATATGTGGTGCTGATGATTGAACCCAGAGCCTCGCACACATGCTCTACTGCTGAGCCACAACCCCAGTGCCTCACACATGCTAGGCAAGCGCTCTGCCACTGAGCTAAAACCCCAGCTCTCTAGATGTTTTTTTTTTTTTTTTTTTTTTTTTTTTAGTTTTCCACAGACACAACATCTTTGTATGTGGTGCTGAGAATCGAACCCACGCCGCACACATGCCAGGCGAACTTGAGCCACATCCCCAGCCGACTAGATGTTTTTCTTAATTTATTTTTTTAAAACATTGATTTTTTCTTAATACATATTTGCTCTAGAAAATATAGATAAGAAAAAAGAAAAAAAATCACCCATGACCCAACTACCCATGCTTTGGTGCATTCCTTTCCAGACTTTTCCCTACCTGGGTGTATATGTATAAATGTATTACAACAATATGATATGATACATGTTACCATAATGTGTTTTATCTTAACATCTTAACATTGTTTTCTCATTAATCTACAATTATAAAATGACTGAGTAATGTTCTATTGTTTCTCACTGTTTGGAATTGTTATTTGCTATTATAAATATCAGTGAGCTGATATCTTAAAGTAAACTCAATGAAGAGGGGAGAGAACAGTATTTTAAATAGACAGAAACAGCATGGTGTTGAATAAGAAGGACTAGAAGAGGCCCTTGTAGCTGAATGTAGAGAGTGAGGATGGAGATGTATGTATTGTCAGACTCTGAAGTTCTCATAGGTCAAGGCTTTGTTATTATTCAAAAGGTAGTGGAATGTCCAAAGGTTTCAGCAGGGGCACCAGGAACTAACTGATGTTTCACAAACATGGCTGGCTGCATGGTAGAGCCAGAGTCTCCACTATGGCCCTGACCAAATCTAGTCTGCTGCCATGTTATCATTGTTGTTGTTGAGCCCATGAGGGATTTGAATATCATGGCTTTTTAAAAAATCTAAAGAACAAGTCAGCTGCAGAGGCACAAGCCTGCCATCCCAGCAACTGGGAAGGCTGAACAGTAGGGTGGCAAGTTTGAGGCTAGCCTCAGCAACTTAGCAAGATTCTAACTAAAAAAATAAATAAGTGAAGAAATAAAAGGGCTGATGATATAGCTTCTGGTTTTGTTTAGTTGATAGGAATAACTAGCAGAAGATAGGGGAGGGAGGAGAGAGAGAGATTGGGGTATTCCTCCTCTCAACCATCTGGCTGATGCAGTGACTTTTGCTACTATAGCTCCTCAGGGGAGCTTTTTGGAGTCCAGCTCTCTCCTGGCTCCTAAAATATAACATCCCCCTAGTCCCTTCAGTCCAAGGGGTGATAGTCTGGGTACTTCAACACCCCTTGGTAATTTCCTTGTCCACAGCTCTGTAAATCTTTTCATTATCTTCAAAATCTGGCTGTCTTCTGTTTTGTCAGGACCAGACTCATAGGAGACCTGGATGCCATATGAAGGCCTTGTAAGCAATGGGAAACTGGGTGGGAATGAGGAGGAAAGATGAACAGATTTGAGAGAGGTGTAGGAGCTCAAATGGGCAGAATTTGGTATTAGAATTTGGAAGTAAGGCAAAGGGTAGGCATTCATTGAGGAGGGAAGTTTATAGAAACATTTTCCCCAAACATTTTATTATGGGAGAATGCAAACTAGTGGGGCTGGGGATGTGGCTCAAGCGATAGTGCGCTCGCCTAGCATGCGTGCGGCCCAGGTTCGATCCTCAGCACCACATACAAAGATGTTGTGTCCACCGAAAACTAAAAAAAAAAAAAAAAAATTAAAATTCTCTCTCTTTCTCTCTCTCTCTCTCTCTCTCTCTCTCTCTCTCTCTCTAAAAAAAAATGCAAACTAGGAAGTCATTTGGGGGCATGTTGAATTAGGGAGTGCCTTGGAACCATCCAACAGAAGACTGAGTCAGCTACTGGGTATTTAAGTTTGGAGCCTGGTGAGGGAGTGTAGGGTACAAAACACATTTCTGTTATCTGTGGTAACCAATGCTGTAGGCTTCCAAGTTTGCCCTCAGATTACTTCCTCAAGAAAGCTTTTTCTTCTACCTCTGTCTTGCTTTGGCAAACTAATTCATGTGCCCCTAGACTATAATAGAATAACACCATTTCCACAATTACAGTTATGACTATTTGTTTGATGTCTGTCTTCCCAAGAATAATTTAATCTTGTGACAGCAAGGACTTTACCTTGTTCAGTGCAGGATCCCCAATGCCTTGCACAACACCTTGCACATCGTAGAACTGTTTAAATCGTTTGTTAAGTAAATGAACAAACCATTGTTCGGACTGTTTTCTTGCATTGGGGCTAACAGCTACCTGAAATTCAGGTTGTCCAGGGCTAGTCCTGTGAACCTGATCTAGAAGATTAATCACTGTTATCTTGGGTGTTTAACTCTACTTATCTATCATGTAGGTCACTCAGCACTTTGGACCAATGACTTTTGCAATGGGCTCATCTCCAAAGTGGGAAAGTCTCTGTTCATGTTTGACCAGGTTCTGATTTAGAGAAGACAACTCAAGTTTCAAGTACATGAAAATCTAAATTTATTGCCAGAATATAAGTTTCAAAAAGAGGCTGTGGATAATGTCACATGTTGGAGGCCTGACTCAGTTCTGCTCAAAAAGATCTGATTATTCTCTTGCTTCTTTTTAAACCATTTGGTACTTTCTGTAGCTATTTCCAAACCAAAGGTTTTGGACCTTTTAAAATCATATACAAGTTTATAAGTTTTGTGATTTTTTTCCCTCAGAAAAATGCTAATGTGTACATTTCTGAAGCACATTTTTATGGAATATTATCAGAGGTGTTCAGGAGCTGCTCCAAGCATTTTAGATTAAGATTCCTCTTCTAATTCAAAACTGGCCACCCACAGTGGAGCGTCCAGCTCCTTCTGTTGCACAGTCCTGGTGATCCTGGAAGTTGTTGGCTAAATAGAGATGATAGGTCTCTGCTTGAACAGCATCAAGGAGAGGGGAGCAAGGAGCATAGTGAAAATGGAATTGAGCCATGATCTTTGCATTTTTCCACTGAAGCTTTAAATGTATCTTCAGTCTTCACTTTAATCAAAATAGCTTAACTTAGGAAAGAAAGAACCCACTTCTTTTTCTTTATAAAATCCTGATTTTATTGCTTCCTGAATGTTTTTCTTTTTAAAGGAGAACTACACACCATCTGTTCCAAGGATCTCAGTTTGACAGCTTAACTGGGGTCATGCTAGGATTCAGCTATTGCCAGGCAAAATAGGAAGGCCAATGGGATGGTCTGACAAGGGTCTGTTGACAGCAAGGATCAATAGAGTCCTTGGAATGATCTCATAAGGAAGAAACCATTTGGTACAGTGTGCCAGGTTTGTGTTAAGTGTGAAATTTAATACAGCACATGTCAGTCACTTGTTGCCCTGCAGTCCCCGTGGACTTGTGCCTGACTCAAGAAGTTTCAAAAAGAGGCTGTGGATAATGTAATAATAATGATTAAAATGTTAAAACTTTTATTAAAACATCTGTACAGCATACAGCAGCTGCTGATGGCTGTTTATTGTGAACACCTATGACTTTGTGCCTGAGAGCCATTTTTCTGGAGCAAAAGGATCAGGTTCAGGGGAATAAAAAAATGCAGAAAGTTAATGCCCCTAGAAGCAGCCCTTAGTCAATGATGGATGAAGAGTGTTCCTATTCCTCAAATTGGGATGACTCAGATGTCTTGTGTGCTGTATCCCAGAGTTCCCTACAATATTGGAATCCAGGGGTAATAGCTGAACAACACACCCTTTGTGACTTTCTTCCTATCTTTTAACCTTGCTCTTCCTCATCCCTCTTCACTGCTCTTGGTAGTGCCTCCAAAATAAGCCATTTGCACTTGAATCCCTGTTCCAGGACATTTTATGGAGTAAATCCCATACCTAGACTGGCATTAAGCATACATACAAGGCAATGAAGTTTTACCCAGATGAACCTGGATTCAAATTCTTTCTTACCAGTGACACTTAGCAAATTAATTTCTCTAAGTTTGTTTCTTCATCCATAAAACAGGGGTAATGGCCCTGACTTCATAAGGTTTGATTGTCAAAAAAGTTTTGAGAAGGTATGTAAAGCATTGCATACAGTGGCTCAATAAATACTGGCTGTTATCATTAATATAACATTTATCATATTGTTAAAATGGTAAACCCCAGTGGAGGACAAAGCTGTTTTCTAGTCTTGGAGTGACTGCTGAAGCAGGTTGGTTTGGTGCATGTGCTGTGGAGGCTGTTTCTGGCAAGCACCTATGAATGAGCAACATCAATAGCTTAGAAGAAATGTTGCCACAGTGAGGAAAATGGTACATATCAAGTGTTGGCTTAGAGGAGCCATTGGCAGTGCAACGGTGGTTTTGCCGATTGAGCTTAGTTGCAACTGATGGCTACAGAGCTATCGATAAATTCATAGCTATGTCCAATATGCATCTGATGGCTGGAATTTCATTAGCCTTACTCTTGAGGGAATATGCTCAGGGCTACCCAGATTGAGTTTCTGATTTCAATCTGCTTTCTAAAATGGACAAAGGACCTTTTTGCTTCTGTTATGATTATTAACTTAATATGGCTATTTTAGAAACTTCCAGATTAGAGATTCCCCACCTTTGCTCCCATCCCTTCCAACTCCTGGACAAGATTGTGTTTTAATGCCTTGGTCACAGTGAAAGAGAAACTGAGACACACCAAGAAACTGAAGGAGATTATTGGATTTTAGTCATCCTCTAAATCAGTGAATTATAGTGCCAGATTTCACCCGCAAAACGTCCCCCTTTCAAACAGCCCTAGGTCTCAGAGTGTGTAGAAATCATGGGCCACATTGGCTAGAAAGTCAGGTAGCAGGCAGGATTTCTTGTTGCCTACCTTTTGCAGGTGCAGCCCAATGACTCAGGGGGAAGAATTTGTTTCAGCCCCTTTGTTTCATTTTAGGTAGAAATCAAGGCCCATATAACTTCCCATCACATTCTCCTTTCATCATAGACACTCGCAGACAAATTTCTCTCCAGTTTATATACAGAGATATATGCCTACAAGCTAATGTAATTTTTGAGCAATAACTTTAAAAATATTTTTAACTATAGATGGACACAATATCTTTATTTTACTTACTTATTATTTTATTTACTTATTTTTATGCACTGCTGAGGATTGAACTTCAGTGCTTCCAATGTGCTAAAGCCCCAGCCCTGAGTAACAGCTTTTAAAAGGAAATAGTATTACAAGTAGAAAGGACCTACTCAGACCTTGGTATGCCTGGTGTTAAGAACAATAATCACAATTCATCTCCTCTACTTCCTTCAAGAAAGAAAACCCTTTAAGATCTAGTCAGGAGGTCTTGTACTCATGCAGGGGATTTCTCCTAGAAGGTCCCATTACATGTGTAATGTTCCAGAAAAATCAGCTGATACTGATACTTTAATACTGACAACTGGAACATTCTTGTAGTATGTCTCAGGGCCACTTACATTAAAATGATTTATGTTCATGTCTTAGTGTTAGGTCGTGAGCTCCTTGAGGGCAGAAATCAGATATGATTTATTTGTATATACCCAGCAGAGATCCTGGCTAGGGTTGCCAAGTTTAGCAAAACCAACCAACCACTAAAAAAATCATCATTTATTAGAAATTCAAATTCAACTGGGAATCCTGTATTTATCTGAAAACCTATTCCTGGCGCATGGCTAGCTCAATAAACAATGATGAATAAGTGAATGAGTGAATGACTAGCACAGGATCAGTAAATGTTGCAATAAACTGGTAAAAATGATTGACCATGTAAAAGATTCTCATCTAAATTCCATCTAGCAATCACAAAACATCAGAACCATGTCTGGTTAGCATTCTGCCTTTCAAAATCTAAGCCTGGCTTTGACTAGAAATGTGCTTTCTATCCATACATCATCAGCCATTTTTATTCAGTGCCCATGTGGGAAGAATACTAATCTGATACCATGTCTTGTTCTGACAGTTTTACATCTTCATTCCACACAATTCTGATTTCATACGTTTGCCTAATTGTTTATTTGTGTGTACCAGTTGCACAAGAAAATTGACTTTGGATGGTGTATGGGGTTAAGCCATTGCGAAGTACAATCATCTCTGTATCTTCCTTTAAAATTGCCAAAACTGTGTTTTTATTCCAGCCGAACCCTGGGATTTTGGGTAAAGTCATTCACCTTGATTAAACCATCAGGACCAATTCTGTTTGGAAAAATAGATATCTGTGGTTAGTTTGTTTAACAAACAATCTTTAAAAAGATAACCTAGAAACAACTCTCTCACTCCAATAGTTCTGCTTCTGCTCTGGGTCCATCACCCCTTTTTCTCTTAACTCTTGACTGCCCCTTCTCTTCTTCTTCCTCCTCCTCCTCTGGTCAAGCCTGAGCAGCAGCATCAGAGGCACCTGAAGGGATTGTAAGACACATATACCTGGGTCGCATCCCTAGAGTTTATGATTCAGGAGGCCCAGGGTGCAGCCTGGAATTCTGCATGTCTAACATGTTCCCAGGTGCTACTGCCTCTGCTGCTGGTTTCAAGCTCTCCAAGAATCATTGTCCCTATACCATTCTTTTCTTTCCCCTTCCTTGTTTCTTTCAGATCTATATTTCACATTTCTCACAATATTTCTATGTTCTCCAATAGGTTTTCAGATAAATAGAGCATTATACTGTTTGGAGAACATCATCAGATGCTCCTTGACCTCTGATGGAGTTACATTCTGATAAACCCATAAGTTGAAAATATCACAAGTTGAGAATGCATTTCAATACACCTGACCTACTGAACATTATAACCCAGCAGCACAGTACACTGTGGAATATCAGTTGCTTCCCTTCAGGATCACAAACTGAATGGGAGATGGGGCTAGCTGCTGCCACCGCCTGCATCATGAGGGAGCATTTAACCATATATTGCCAGCCCAAGAAAAGATCAAAATTTAAAAATTGAAGTTTAGTTTCTACTGAATGGGTGATGCTTTCTTACCATCATAAAATTAAAAAAAAAAATCATATGTCAAGCCATGGTAAGCCAGGGACCATCTGTAGGGACCACTATAACTTGGCCTATTAGATTTTTAGGTTTTTTCCCCCAGTATTCTTACTGGGAAAAGTTTACTTACACTTCCTGTTCAATGTAGTTTAGCATTCTGCTGACATGGGATGCAGAGATTTCTCCATCCACTTCAGCAATATATGTGTAGAGAAACCGGAAGGTGCTGAAAGGGATCCGTGGAGGTCCACCATCATGGTCACTGGACAAAACTTCACATACTATCTTAAGAGTTTTGGCAATGGTCTATAAGATACATGGAGAAAGTCACTCTTCTAGACTAGAGTTCTGAGATCAGTTTAGGTATAAGAGAGAAAACAAAAATATTGCTCTTATAAAATGAAGTTGACTATGATTTAAGATTCTAGAAAGTTTAGCATTTTTACCTTCAAATGGCACTTAATTCATTCTAAAAACATTGATTATTGAAGGGGTATCTTTTTTCTTTCCTTTCTTTGTTAGAGGGCTATTCTTAAGAAATTAAATTTATAAACTGCTAGAAACTCATAAGTTATTTGTGACTTTAATCAGCCAATTCCTTATTTAAGATGGGGGTCATTGATTTCACAGGCTATAAAATTAGAATTAGTTCTTATTATTTCTTTTTTTTTTTAGTTCTTATTATTTCTTTCCAGTCTTATTTCTAAAGGGTTGAGGTAATTTTTCCAGCTTGTTATAGTCTAATGAATTATTTGAGGAATGTCAAAGTCGGGAAAAAAAATGTAAGAAAAGGGCAATATTCCTTGGAAGACAGGAGTTCTAGATGCTAGGAAAATAGGACTGAGCATCAAGATAAAACCATTCTTCTAAACATGCAGATACATCTAAGCAGAATCATCTATATTGCATAATACTAACCCTGGTGCTGCGGAGGGGGGAAATGAGCAGATGATGTGCCAGTTTTAATAGAAGGTTTGCTACCAAAGCAATCACACCTTACAATGAAACTTGAACATTAAAGGATCATATTCAGAATTGATCCTACGTCTTTAAATAAATGTAGCCTTTGCATAAATTTCACAAGTAAGAGAGTTGTGAAGTGGTGGGGCAAAGGAAAGGAGTGATTCAAAGAAAAGACTGTTGAGCTCTGAATTAGCAGAGATAGGTCAGCATATATATCTTGGTGGTTTACTGAAAGAGATGGTGCACAGATGCCTTACACAATCTCCAGGGAGCAGTGAAAAATCAGCCCTGCGTGGTGAACTAGGGGTGAACAAATAGCCGCCATCTCTTCCATGTGCATGGCCAGTGGACAATTGCCTTTCTTGCAGTTGATGCTCATGGTTCTACTCCTACCCTTTGCCTGAACATAACAAATGTCTAGATGGCACTCCTTTTGCTGTGGTGTGTATTACCCAGGGTGTAAGTCTGTATGTCATACAGCATGCAAAGATGTGGAAGAAACTCAGCCTATCCTCCTGGAGTGACAGTTTTCCTTGAAGGCAGTGAATTCAAATGTTATTTGCATTAACTAATTATTAATTTTAATTGAGTCAATATTTAAATTTCATTTCTTTCCATTTAACAAGCATTGTTATTTTATGAAATAGAATCACTGTGCAATGATTTAAAAATAAAAATGATGCCAAAGAAATTTGGGGTTTGCAACAGCTGTGGCTCTGGAGGTGAAGCACAGGATGAGGCATCATTCCAGGGATTTCCACCTAAGAGAGGGGAGAGGAGGGTGGACATACATGAGGTTATCAGTGAGGATGGGACCCCATGACTGTGAGATGAGGTTAGCATGACAATGGTTTGGGGTACATTTGCAAGTATCAATGTATGTAAATTAAACTGAACTTTTTCCTTTTTCTTTTTCTTTCTTTCTTTTTTTTTTTTTTTTTTTGGTACTGGGGATGGAACTCCTGTTCTCAACCACTGAGCTACATCCTCAGCCCTTTCTATTTTTTAATTTTTATTTTAAGACAAAGTCTTACACTAAGTTGCTGAGAGTCTCACTAAACTGCAGAGTCTGGCCTCAAATTTGCAATCTTCTTGCCTCAGCCTCCTGAGTCGCTGGAATTATAGGTATGTGTCACCACACCCAGTCCTGAACTACATAATTTTTATCCACAGCTCATTCTTTTGACTTCTCTCTGCACCCCTATTTTCTTTTGTTCTGTCATCCTCTTCGTTGGGGTGCTGTTATGGGCTGAACTGTACCCTTCCCACTCACATGTTGAAACCATAAGCCTCAGAACCTGAAAATGTAATTATATTCCAACAAAGAACTTTTTAAAAAAGAAGTTAAAATGAAGTCCTTGGGGTGGGTCCCCAATTAAATATGATTAGTGTGTTTATGAGAAGAGGGAATTAGGACAAAAGTAAGACTCTAGACATGTGGAGTCAGAGGAACACAGGGTGATGATAGTTTTTTTATAGCTATAAATATCTTTTAAAATGTGTTCTTACTAGTTGTACATGACAGTAGAATGTATTTTGACATTTTATACATATAGGGAGTATAACTTCCCATTGTTCTAGTTGTACATGATGTGGAATTACATTGATTGATGATGGTTTTTTATAAGGCAAAGAAAGGGCCCTTGGAAGAAACCAACCCTGCTGATTCCTTGATCTTAAAACGTTTGGCTGCCAGAACTGTGAGACAATAAATTTTTGTTGTCTATACCACCCAGTCTGTGGTACTTTGTTATAGCAGCCCTTGAATACAGTGGGTGTATCATTTATTGGTTATTAAAACAATAAACCCTCAAATTCTAAAGCTCTCATAGATTTTTAAAGATTTTTAAAGATCTAATAAATGGATAAAAAAAACTCTTTGGACTATAGCTTCTTCTTCTTTTTTTTTTTTTTTTTTTCTTATGTGGTGCTAGGGATTGAACCCAGGGCCTTGTGCATGCAAGGCAAGCACTCTATCAACTGAACTCTATCCCCAGTCCAAGACTACAGCCTTTTGATAAATTCAAACAAATCTAAAGTAAGCAGAGATCTCCATTCTCATTCACAAGACTTCTCTGTGGGATAGGAATCCATTTCACAGAGATGGCCTTAACATTTTACAAGCCTCATTTTCAAACACAGAGGCAAAAGGCTCAGAAAGGAATTGTTTGCTAACAATTGAGAAGTCATTCCTCCAAGTGAACACGATCTTCTACTCTCTATATGATCTATATAATCAGTCTTAGTGGAGCAGGAGGTGGCATAGGCCAGCCTGGAGGAAGGAGTGAAAGGGAAGAGGGACACTGGCCTGCATGCTGAAGCTTTTGGAACCATGTGTGTTAGGTCCAGAGAGCTCCTACTGGAGTCAGTATTGTTATTACCCAGTGGAGTGAACATTCCTGCCATGGTCTCTTCCACAAGGAGCAAACTGCTTCTCTAGATGGCACAGAGATCAAAACTAGCTTGCAAAGGAAGGAGGAATTCCTGGCTTGTCTCTAAGGACAGCTATGTGGATTAACTAGATACAAGGCCTCCACTGGCTGGTGACATTCTGTCTTAGTCTGGGCTGCTATAACACAATATCTTAGACTGATTAATTTATAAACAACAGAAATTTATTGCTCACAGTTCTAGAGGCTGGGAAGTCCAAGATCAAGAGGCCAGTAGATTCGGGGGTTGGAGAGGACCCATTCCTCATGATGGTGACTCCTCACTGTGTCTTCACATGGAAGAAGGAGCAAACAGACCCCCCCCCCTCAAGCTTCTTTATAAGGCTCTAATCCCTTCCCAAAGGCTCCACAACCCCTAATACCCACACTTGGAGAATTAGGTTTCAACATATGAGTTGGGTGGGGGAGATACAAAGTTTCAGACCATAGCACTGACCTAGTCCACATTTAAATTTCCAGAAATGGTCCAACATGATGCAAATGGTATAATAGTACTGATTCTTGAATTCACAGGACACTCTTTATTTACAGACTAGAACTCTAGGCCAACTTCCCCACTAGGTGCTTCTTTTATAGGTATGGTGAGTGGCAAAGTCAGATATCTCGGGATCCCTCAGAATTGGAATGGTTCACTCTTATCCAGAGGTAGGCATGAGAGTGCCTTGGTGGGAACAGAGAAGGTGGAATAGAATCTCAGAGTGCTAGAGGTAAGAGAACTTCATAGAACTTTCAATCCAACCTCCTTATTTTAAAAGGGAAGTGGAAAAATATAGTTCACTTCATTGTTCCTCCACCCCAATTTGTGAGGCAGGTCTATCAGAGGAAAACTAGTAGCCACCTAGTAACCTAAGCACAGGAAGGGTCAGAGTGTGACTTTCCAAAGTTGCTCCTGGCTACTGTGAAGTATGAATACAAGAGGGTAACTTGGACACCTCATAAGATGGTGAGAAACATAGACTGCCAAAGCCAGGGAGCAGATGAAGACAACCTGGAAGAGATTTCAGAGGTTCCCAGCAGGAGTGACAACTGAGATGAGCCTAGGGGGTGGGGGAGCATCATCAGACTTTGCATAATCAGAGAGACACCAAAAACTTAAGCTGTAAGCAGTTTGTGATCAGAGGAAGGCAGGAAAGTACTAGGAGGCATGGGAACCCCTTTACTTGGCTGCTCTGAGGTCCTAAACCACCCCAGAGAGAATGGTGAGGCGAAACCTGAGAGAGACAGTTACCTGTAGGCAGTTTCAATTATTGCATCAGACTAAACTCCTGGATTGAATGGAATCTACTTATCTTCCTCTTCTACCCTTTTCAGGTGGGGGATAAATCAAGGTCATCAGAATTAACTTTAGATAAGATAAAAAACTATACCCCACCAGAAAACAAAAACAAAACCAGAAACAAACAAAAAACCCCACACATACACCTCTGAATGTGATATGAATAAACTTGTAGGCCTGTGAGAATTTTATGTGTGATTTTAATTTTCTCTTTTGTAATTTCTTCCAATACTTGAGGCTTGGTTTCTTTTTTTTTTTTTTTTGGTGGGGGTGGGTGGTAGGGAAGGCACTGGGGATTGAACCCAAGCTTGCTTCACCACTGAGCTATATCTCCAGTCCTTTTTATTTATTATTTTGAAACAGGGAGAGTGTTATTAAGTTGCTGAGGCTGTCCTTGAACTTGCAATTCTCCTGCCTCAGCTTCTTGGATCCCTGGGGTTTATAACAGGCATGTGCCGAAGCATCCAGTTCTTGAGCCCCCACCCCCCACACACACACAGAAGAGATATCAGTTGTGATTGACAGCTCATTTGCCCATGCTACCTTTTCCTCTCTTCTTTGGAGGATAGTAATTTATTTGTTATATAAGGACAATAAAGAAAAAAATCAACCCATAAGGCTCTCCTTTTCTTCTATCTAAAGAAGTGATTATGATAAAGGTCACCGGGGAAACCCAAAAGTTGAACTACAGTATTTCTGCTAAATTTGCTCAGAAACAGAATGTCAAATATGTGTTCCAAGCATATTGGAGAAGAAAGAACAAGATCGTGTTTAGATGTGCTGAATAATTCAAACTACCTTTTCATACCAGTTGGTTTGGGCTGAGGTGATAATTTCCTCATTAATGCTTAAATTTGTATGTATCATTTCAGGGATAGTTTTAAAACTGAATAATTTTGATTCATTTTTATTTAAGGTATCATAACAATTATTAACAAGGGTGAGTTCACATATAAGATACCTAAAAAACTGTTTTTAGCATCTTTTGCTTCAAAACAGGAAAATGGCTTTTCTAGTTGCGAAACAAGTCAAATTTGGAAAAGGCATGAATTTGTATGAACATCCTGTATGCACAGTGATGTCATAACTGTAGTTCTAGAAATAGCCTCATCTCTCTTTGCTTGCTTTCTTATCTCTGATCATTGCATCCAATTATGTTTATCTAATAGTCATTTTCTATAAGGCTACACCCCTTTTTAAAAGTCACTATTGGTATATCTTGAAGGTGTCTGGAATCTACAAGTGAGCAAGTCTTATTCTATAGCTGGCTCTTGGTTATCTCTAGGAATTATAAATGAAAGGTGTGGAGTGGGGTGAAAATAAATCTGAGGGCAATGATCAAATTTCACAAATAATTTGAACTGTCCCTAGAACCTGATGATAATTCTCTTCTCTCTCTCCTCCCATCTCCTGCTTCCAGCTGATGCATACAGAAATGCATTTCTTAATTCAGAGAGGAGGAGAAGACAAAAAGAAGCAGGCTCGTCATTAGCCCTGGAGGGGTGATAATGTGAATTATCCTTCCAAGTCTGGAGGAAGATTTTCCCTTAAGGAACTCAAGGAGGGTGGGGGGGCTAACTTACAACTCCAAGAGAGCTGCAGGAAAGGGCTAAGAACTTCAGCCACTCGATCTCCTCCGTGAAGCGACCCACGTTCATCACACTATTAAACAGATCTGTTGGCAGATTCAACACCTTCCACATCTGAGCCAGTTCATCGGCATGGATGATCAGCCTGCCACCAACCTGCAGGGCAGGGGACAGACAAAATATAAAGAATGAGGGGAAAGGTAGGAGATGCCCTGATTGGCAGGTCAGTCCCCAAGTTCTGCCAGCATGTGTAAAGGGGTGGGGTTGAGGGTAGGTATTAATTAGGGAGGTCAGAGGACCCTCTTTGGCAGTTCTTCCTGCAAGGCCTACTGAAGAGCATGCTGAGATATCATTTAATATGCATATATATTTTGTAATTTCAGATGTCAGAATTATATTAGAGATAGACATAGGGTCTCTTGCTTCCAAGTCTCCACTGAATTCTTTGCACTGGATCTCATTTACCTCCCATTTCCCCAGGAATGACGTGGGGAACATGGCTGATGTGTAGGGGTTGAGACTGGATGCCTAATGTTGTTTGATCTCACTCTAGAGCTCCGTCAGGCTCAATGTACAAGGAACTTGGAAGTTAAAAGGACAGGAGTGAATGACTGACTGAACAAGGTGACGAGGGCACAGCTGCCCCAGTGAAGCCCCAACCCCTTTCCTAGCCCTCTGATTCTAATAAAACACTAAATCTCTGGAACTGAGGTCGTTGGCTAAGTCAGTCCTGAATTGCCTCAGATCTCTCTGTCCAAGATCTTAGGGCAAGGAATGGTGGTGCTAATCCATATTTTTTTGAGAATTGGCCAAACCACAAACTTTCTCAAGCCAGTTTCTCCTCATTCATTTATCAGGCAACTTCTAGGATGACAGGGCTGGGGAGAATGTCAGGGTGTTCCCTAAAAACTAGGCTATGTTTGCACTGGGGAACTACAATAAGCTCCTCCCCAAAGTGGGATGGCCGCATGTCATGGCCTTGTTGATCCATCTGGGAGACACTTTCAAGCAACTGCAGACCCATATTTTTCAGGAGAGAAGGATTAGCACTGCACTGAGTCCCTGGGCATTGTGTCAGCTTAAGGGGATCTGTGATGGCCCCATGACAAGCTAGCCCTTGGCCTATTCAATTTACCCAAGGGGACATTTACCTTCAGGGCAAGATTTAGTGAACTTTAGGGTCCTGCTAAGTGAACAGCTGACTGGCAGAGGAACAGATGGCCTCTGTTTGTACCTATGGAGCAGCAACCTTTCCCTGCATGCCTCTTACCCGAGAATGCAGGATCTTTAACAGCTCAGGTGTGAGCTCCGCCCAGTTGGACAAAGCAACTCGCTCAGACCGCTCTCTCACTGGAGGGATCTCTCCACGGGACATAGACCCAAAATAACTGTAAGACAAAAATTAACAGGGATAGGAAGGGCAGCAGAATAGAATAGACATTATGATTGATGTATGTACATTCCATGTATGTATTATATGTCAAAATACATTCTGCTGTCATGTATGACTAAAAAACATAATTAAATAAAAATAAAAATTAAAAAAAAAAATTAGCAGGGTGGAGGAGTGTCCCATAGTCCAGCAGCCTCCAGCTGCTTCAGGAATTTCCTTTTCCTCTCCTCAACTCATTTTTAAGGGAAGGGGGTAGAGGAAAGAACATTTTGAAAGCATTTAGACACTGTGCTTAGTTCATTTGCATATGAGAAAAGCCTGATTGTGTTACTTTCCACTTAAGAAATGGAGCATGCTTAGGGTATAAAAGTTTGTTTCTAAGGTTGAAGAATATTCAAACCAACTAAAGTGTGTTGTGCAATTATGTTGGGGCATATTCGGTCAAGTTTTGTTTTGTTTTTCCCCAAGTCATCCCTCCTAGTGTTTCATATACACAGAGGGTCATATATCCTAGGATACATACGTATAGGATATATATATGCATGTGTACATCTGTGTTGTATCAGGCAGTGGGTGGGGAAGAGAATTTGGAAGAGAACAAAAGTGATTTGCCTGAGAAAGGGGAGGGAATAGAATGGCTCCCAGGATGAGTGAGGAAGGGTTTCTGGCTGGGGAGAGGCCTGAGGCTTCACCAAGGAAGACAGAGAAGACTGGCAGGGTACTAAGGGAGGCTCAGGAGAGAAGACAAGCCAAAGAAGGTTTCAAGCTTAATATGATACGCATGAGGCAAAACGCTTCTCTTTGTTTCCTCAACAATTTCAGTAAAACTGCCTGGTCACCACTGCTTTGTGAATGAAGTGGACTTTGGGGGACAATGTGGAAAATAGACTAAGTTCTATTTCAGTATTGGCATGGATGGAAAGAGGCTGTCTGCAACAGGGAATGGGTATGAGCAGGTGACATGGTGGTTGATGCTATATAGCAGGGTGTGTCTCCATCAAAAGTCTTGTTACTGTCTATGCCTGAATCAATAACTTCTGCCCTTTATTTTCTCCAGATAGCATGAAAAGAACAGAGTAGAAATTTCATAGCAGCCCATTTTAGGGTGAAACCATACAATAGAGTTAACCATTGCCTGTCTTTTAAGACACAGAGCATTCAAAGCTAAAACCACATGGCCTAAAACAGCACCCTCCAGGTTCTCTCTTGGAGGATGTCAATAGGAAGGGTAGAAGAAATGCTTCAAGGGCACTTCTAAACAATGTGCATGAGAACTCTCTACAGACAGGTCAGTATTGCAATGGGTATGGGTGCAGCATGACAACTGAAGTTGGGTATAACCTCAGGCTCTGTAACCAGACTTGGGTGATATAAACCGAGGGTAATGACACCATGGCACCTCATTGTACAGAAGTTACTACCCAGGTGGAGAGTGGCATTCATTATTCTCAGCATTCTTCAAACATCTTTAGACTTTTTAGTGGAGCTGAGTAGATAGAGAACATGGAAATGAAACTATAGTCATGGATTTAGCCCTCTGGGTTATTAAGCTTCATTTGAAAGTAAACAATTCTATGGTTATAAACAGTAAATTTGTATTGTCACACATGCCTACTACAGGAGAAATAATTGTATGTTCTGCTGAAATGCCTGGTAGGTAGTTTCCTCATTGACAGCAAATATGTAGGGAAATTCTTGCTTGCAATGAATTAAATACATATCTTGGAAATATTGTGTGGAGTTTTATCCTTTAAAAGGGTACAAGTTTGTAATCACACGAAACAATCTGATAAGGGCTTTTCATGTCTAAATAGGATGAAGAGTGCTCTTAGGTCATGCTCTTTTTCACTGTAGTTAAAGTACAAACTGATTTTTCATGGATGTCTAAAAAATTTATAGCATATCATATAATACAGGTGCTACCAGTCTACAATAGGGGAATGTTTTCTTCCATAAATGTCAGAGGCAATATTAAGAAATGTCATTTTTCTAACTATACTAGAGTAGCAAAAGAATAATAAAATGGAGTGTTAAACTATTGTATAGTATAAAACAGAATCTGTCTGACTATGCTGAAAAAAAAAATCAGTCTTCTGATGCTAAAGTCCAATCTTAGAGGTAATAGATCAAATTTAGAATTGAAAACTAAACAGGATTCATTACTAGGTGAAGCAACTCTATTTATGTCTCTTTTTATGGCACAACTGGCTCACTCTCCCCTCCATTTCTAAAAGCTTCCTCCTAGTCCAGCCCAAGAGTGCAGAACACTGGCTCAGAAACTCTGTAAGACCCTCTTGGAAGACATTTTATACCATCTGAAAGGTGTTCACAGCTCTCCTCCCCTTCTGCTCAGAACACCTACTCACCCTCAAGCTGAGAACATTCTTCCTTCCCCCAACTACAGGGCTCCTCCGCAGTCTCCCTTCATCCTCCTTTCCCACTGAATTACTATTAAGGAAGTAATCATCATAGTAAAAATAGTCAGATCCAGGAGGTCTGGTTAGTTTCCAACTCCTGCCCCAAGCCCTGGTTACCCAGTTTCCAACAGGAGTGTTTGTCTAAGAAGCAATTTCATAGCTGAGAGGGTTTCTGCATAAAGCTGCTTCAGCGCAAGCCAGCAGCTATTGTGCAAGCTCCATTGACTGAGCAGGTTCTGGGGGCTCTTGGAAAAGGGGCACCTGTGCACACCGCTCACAACCAAGCCTGACCTCATCACTCTCATCTGTTGCCTTCTCTAAAATGCCTCGTGACTGTGTGGACACCTTTATGCTGAGAGAACAGATTCGTTCAAAGAAACCTTAAAGAAAATAGTAATTTCCCCAAAGGTAAGATACAAAGTATCTCTAGTCCGGCGCAAGTCGTGGAGAAATGTGTCTCATTACAGGAAAGACCCAGTTTGGAAAGATCCACCCGCTCCACCCCGCGGGCCAGCTCCTGCCTCCCCCAGGTGCCCTGCCATCTAGCGGCGAGACAGGAGAACGAGGTCCAGGTTTCATCCAGGCTAACCCGCCTGGGAAATTCCGTGCTTCCCTTTTCACTGGGACAGAGGGACGCGATGCGGGCAGGGGCGGGAGTGTGCTGGTGTGATGTAGAAGTCTAACTCTTGCTGTTCACACTAGGACACTTGACCTATAGCCTTGGCGTCCAGCTGCTCAGTCTAGCTGTCTTAGGGGAGGGTATCTCTTCCCCATTCGATGTATTTATATGTGGATTTTAAAACATCAAAAGCAACGAGAAAACTGAAAATCTGGCATAATTAGCCAGAGATTATGCTAATCAGTCCGGACACTCTGGCTGCAGCCATGACAACCTCAATTTTTCATGACCCTTTCTCCTCCTTTCTCTCTCCGAGGAGACTGGAGGTGAGAAAGGAACACGTACTCGGCAGCCCATTGGATGAGATCCTGGGGCTGGGTCCGGATGGCGGCTTTGGTAAACTGCTTCAGCAATTCCGGCAGCTCGGGCGGGATGCATATTTGCTTATCAGTCTGAGGCATTGATTGCTTGACCTGTGCACAGGAGAGAAAATAAAATGGGACTCTTTGAATCATAAGATGACAGCAGTCCTGAACTAGAGGTCACCCAGCCTCTGTTTGTCAGTCTCAGTATTGGGGATTCTGCTACCCCACAACACAGATGCATTCTAGAAAGTGGTTTACTAATCCTTGGTTTTTGTTGTAAATAATTATGTCCTTCATGTAAAACATCACACTTTAAAAAGTGGACATAACAGAAGTAAACATAAATATTCCCTAATAATGTCACCCCCAAATATTGGATATCTTCTTCCCAATTTTGTTTCAATCTAACTGTATATGTGTTTGTATAAATGAAAACTGAGGTTGCACAAACCCTATTTATTCAAAAGCATGTTATGAGGATCTTTCCAAGTTGCTTCAATTCTTACTAGCCGGATAAAAGTTGTAGCAAAATTTACACTCTGAATCCTCTGATTTGACATTAGGCCTTTCTAAATAAAAATAATTATTAAGCAGCTATTGGACTATCTAATCTTTTTTTGTTTTTAGTTGCAGATGGACACAATATTTTATATATTCATTTTTATGTGGTTCTGAGGACTGAACCCAGGGCCTCACACGTGCTAGGCGAGTACCCTTACCACTGAGCCGACCCCAGCCTTCTTATCTAATCTTAAGAAAGAAACAAACATTTTCACATGAAAAGTTCAAATTGAAACAAAGACAAATTGAAACAAAAAAAATTTAAAGTTTATAGATGGTATATAATTTTATGCACATATGAATATAATATTATGATTCCATTTTTAATACAGAAAGGGACAAGCTAAAAATACCAAAAGCCCTACCCACCACCCTTACACCTAGATTGCCAGACAAATCTCAGTAAATATACTTTTCCAATTGTCTTGCTGAATTTGCCATAGAATGAGAGAAATCTTCAAGCACCAAATAAAGTGAAGCAGAATGTAGAATAGTGACTTACTAAGAAATGAGGGCTCACCTGAGGGCAAATGTAGAGAGCAAAAATTTGAAACTTTGAGATGCAGGGAGGAGAGAGACCAGGCCTGGCCCACAAAGAGCAAATGACTGAACTAAAGCATTTTCCTTCTGGTCTAAGTTTGAGACCTTCAATGTGGAAAGGAAGGCTGGAAACATTGGTCTATAGGTAGGGGTAATCAATGAAGAACTGTCTCCTATGCTGCTTCCTATTGGGGGAAAATAGCCTCCAAGAGTTTGTAGCTACCGACTAGATCTAGGTTTAGATTTATACCAGCAGCAGCCTAGTTGGGAAATCCCTAGATGAGAAATTAAAGCAGTCTGAGGTTGGTGGTATTTTATTCCCTTTTACTTAATGTTCTTTTATTTGGAAGTAGAGGAGGGTAAATATAATGATTAATTTTAGACTTCATAAAAATCCAAGTATGTATAAATTTTACTGTGCATATGTGGCCTTGTACATAGTATTAAAAAGTAATACTACAGGGCTGGGTTTGTGGCTCAGTGGTAGAGCACTTGCCTAGCATGTGTGAGGCACTGGGTTCAATCCCCTGCACTACATAAAAATAAACAAATAAAGGTATTGTGTCCATCTACAACTAAAAAAAATTAAGAAATAATATTACAAAAGTTATATTATAAATTAATATAATCACCAAGATATGCCCCCCCAAAAAAAGGAGATGGGGGGAGTGTAGGCAAAGTGGACAAATAACATGTTAGAAAGTCCTCCCTACATGTCAGTAATCAATCAAAATAAATGGTCCTAAATGTATTAAAGTATAGAAATTATCAGACTGGATTATTAAAAATCCAGGTACTGTCACATCTGAAAAAAACCCAGAAAGACTGAAGGTAAAAATGATATAAACATGCAAATAACCCAAAGAAGTTGACATTGACAAACTGATACCAGACAAAAGATATTTTTTAAAAAGATGTAAAATTCACCGTTGGAAATCAAGAAATTCACTACATGATGATAAAAGCTTCAACTATTGAGAAGTTAGCACAATTCTCAATAAGTATGCTCCAGCCTTCACCAGGGAGGAGTCTCCAGCCTCCCCCAGGTGCCCTGCCATCTAGCAGTGAGACGGGAGAGCAAGGTACAAATATTGTTTGGGATCAATCTCTCTCTCTCTCTCTCTCTCTCTCTCTCTCTCTCTCTCTCTCTCTCTCTCACACACACACACACACACACACACACACACACACACCACCTTTACTATTAAAGAGTGAATGATGATAAATACAAATCTAGAATTGGCAATTACCCCTAGCGGAAGTGATGTCATCTCAATAGTGACATTGTAACTTCTAAGTTGGATGGTAAACTGCTTAGATGTTTGTTTCAAAAATTTTAAACTATATTTACATTATGCATTTTGTTTTGTATATACAAAATAAAATTTTAAAATCTACTATTTACAAGTTGTGCCTTGTGACTTTTCAATCCATTTATTCTAGAAAAGGGCAGGGCCTTAGTTTGTTTATATTATGTATGTGTGTGTATACATACACACACATAATATACACAATATATATTCTTTCATTGTGGTAAAACATATAGCATAAAATCGACCATTTTAGCCACTCTAAGCAGCTAGTTGAATAGTATTAGGTACATACACATGCAGCCATCACCATCATACTGCAGGGTGTTTTCATGATCCCATCTGAAACTTCGTACCCATTGAAAAACAACTCCCTATTCTTCCTTATTCTTCCTTCTCCCTGCTCCTGGCAACCACCATTCCACCTTCTGTCTCTATGAATATTATGTTGTAGCATGTTTGAGGGTTCTCTTTTTTTTAAAGGTTGAATAATATTTCATTATATGTACCATTTTTTGTTTATCTGGTCACTTATCAGTGGACATTGGGTTATTGCCACCTTTTGGCTATTGTAATAATGTTGCTATGAGCACAGGTGTACAGATATCCTTTTGACTTCTGCATTCAATTGCTTGATATAGACCCAGAAGTGGAATTACTGGATCATGTGGTAATTGTATTTGAATTTTTTGAGGAACTGCCATACTGTTTTCCACAGTGACTGCACCATTTTACTGTTCCCTTGTATTTTGACAGGATCATTTATTTGTTGTGCAATTATATAATTTTTATTCTGAAGGTTGCCAAAACCTCATGTAAATGAAAAGACGGCCCAAACCTAATTAGAAAAGCTTCCATGACAAGAATAGCAATGATAACCCTTGGTCAATATGGAGCAAAATCAAGCAAAGCCTTATTTCAGCCTGTTGCCTTTTCTGACAACTTTTCTGTGACCTCTAAACATTTGGGCAAAGACTCTCTAGTAAGTTCTTTATACCTATTTCTCAGTCCTTCTTTAACCCTTTGCATTTTTCTCCTCTTAAAAGTCATCAGTTTCCTCCATTTCTAAGCACAAGATATCATGCTAAGTATACTGTATATGCTTTCTCTTTTAATCATATATATATATATATATATATATATATATATATATGCGTGTGTGTGTATGTATGTGTGTATATATATATATATATATATATATATATATATATATAGTCACCATTTTACTGATGATGAAACTAAGAAAAGGAGTAAAACTTTTGCAATGACACATAACTAAGAAGTGACAGAAGGAGGGTTTGAACACCCACACAGCCTGATGGGGGAGGTGGACTGTTAGACAAACGTTTTTTGCTACTTGAGGTTTCTTCCTACTTTGATGACATATACCACCCATTCTGCACAGTGTTTCTCTGCCTCCTTCAGTAATTCTTTCTCTTTTCTTCTGCTAAGCAAGAATTAGTAAACTTCCCCAAACAGTTTTCAGCATCTGAGCTTATGTTGGTTTCCTGGAGAGCTTACATCACATCCTCCTCAGGCTTCATCTGCCACATGACTATGTTGATTATCCTCCTTTATCCATCAAATCTCTCACCTGTGCTTCTATTCCACACTTCCCATTGCCTCCAGGACACTTGGCCACTAGAATCCTTGGTTCATCTCCCAACTAAGTCTCCTTCCCACATTATTATTCTTATTTTTTTCTTTTTTGCTGTGCTGGGGATTGAAAACTCAGGGCCTCTCACATGCCAGGTAAATGTTGTACCACTGAGTTACATCCCCAGACCCCCAAATTCTTTTCTGAACAAGATACCATCATTCTTTCTGTTCTTTGGCCTCAAAGCCTTGGACACATCTTTTTTCCTCAATCTGCTGAATATCTTAATCATATTGATCTTTTCTTTGAAAAGTGTCTCCAATTTATCCTTATTTCCACTTCTATTTTTCTGGTTTATTGCCTCATCAGGAAGTAGATTCCTGACTGGTATCCTTCTCTCACCTCATTTTCTGGTCTGGCCTGTCCAGGATGGCTAGATCTATCTTTAAGAGATGAGAGAGCTCCACTCACAAAACAGCATTCAGATCTGATTTTCAGGGTTCTTCATGATTTACTCATCTCATTCTAAGCTACAAATTTTCTATTTACCAACACACAAATTTACAACACAGTCTACTCTGGCCACTTTCCAGGAAATTAAACATCAGATGTTTAACACTTTTCTCACCCACTGTTAATAGTACTCTATCCTGTTTTGGTTTCTCACTCAGCAAGTTGTTACTACTTGAAGTGCCCTATTTTCTTTCATCTATTCAAACCTTATGTCCCCCAGATTTCATCTTGAGTCCATACTATTCTTTCCTAAAAAACTTGGGTAGCATCTACTATTGTTTGTAGTACACATTTTCCCATTAAATCCTATTCTGCCTTCTATTGCTCTCTAAAGCAAAGCTCCCTAGCAGTGGCCAGGAGAGAATGAGTTACAGGTGTACCATGAGAGATTGATGGTTGTAAAGTTTTTATACTGATATGAAATTTACAGCCATTTTACAACCATTCACAAATTTATAACGGTTCACATTATATTTGGATGCTGTCTGGCACAGTCAGTAAACTTCCAGATTTCAGTGCTTATTGTTTTGTGCTTAAGGGTTTATACATAACACCTGCCACCAGAGACTCGAGTGGAGGGATTTCCC